CTTTCCGAAAGACGAATAGCCTTTTTGTTTGCTACGCGGGCCCACTGAAAGGTCATTTTCTAAGCGAAATTTGCTGCACAATTTCACTTCAAAAAACTGGATTAGTCCAAGCTGACATCTGCCTACCAAAGATTTTATCAAGCCGGTGACATGTTTCAAAGATGACAGGTATGTTGAAGGTAATAAGATGGAGGATCAGTGGAGAATAATTTCCTGGAAAAAAGCAGTGGGATTCCAGCCTTCTGACTTCTCGGGCATGTTGAAGATTCATATATTATTTCTCCTGTTCCAGTCATCTAGATAATCCAGTTTATCTTTAAATACAACAGCTTCTACTCTGTCTTGTCCAGGTGTTTCAGAACCTCAGCCACGTTTCCTTATTAGCCGAGACTCATTCTTCCATCTTTTCAACTTGCTCTGGCAAAAGTGACATTTCATTCTTTGTAATTTGGCCTGAATGCTGACTGTCTTGGCTTTGAACTGTTTGGAGAAATCTTCTTTGCTTTCTCATATTGACAATATCACAGATTCAAGCCAGTTGGTTTCCTCCTTATCAGCTGCCATTTTGAGATCCATTTGTTTGGATCCATTGATATTACTCAGCAAAGATGTTCTGTTTCTACAAAGACTGCACTGTGCCATGCACGTATCTGCAGATAAGTGCATGGCACAGTGCGTGGCTTAGTTTAAAGATAGAGGTTTCACATAAATAAATTCAGTATTAAGAACAACTGAGATGGAGAGGCAAACCAGATCTGCTGGCAAACCAGCAGATCTCATGATTGCATGACCATCCTTAGCCATGCTTCTTTCTTCTGACCTCTAACCCTTGAGCTGCCTGTTCAAGGGTCAGAGCATGTGGTCTAAAAACAGCACAGTGGTCTCCACTGTGCTGTTTATTCTCTAACAATGTTCTGAGGCTGGAAATAGATTAGCTGAATTTACTTAGTTGACTTCTGAAGGTAAAAAGTTCAATAGTATTTGTTTAGTCTGCACACTATTCTTTTCCCATTTTCTTTTTTTTTGCAAGATAAATTATTTGAAAACTATTCATGCTATGTCTGTGTTGGTGTTACATTAAAATCCAATAAAATGCCAATAATCAGCAATCTGAAGCAGGGGTGATTCTAGACCTTTAGGGGTGCTTAGTCCCCAACAGGGCTAAGACCCATGAGAAGATATTAGTTGGTGCAGTTTTCTAAATCTAACTGCTTATTTACATACATTCACAAACAAAATTAAGAGACATGTCAGTAATTCATAGAATAAAAGAACAATGTTCATTTTTCTCAAACATATACCTATAAAAAATATCTATGACTGAATATTTAAAAACTACATTTAATTAGTATAATTTCTTCAAAACCCTTCTTGGCCCTGTTCTAGAACCGCCCCTGGGCTGCAGGTCTGGGTCTGGTGCATTTTTGCTTAGCATGTTTTTTCTTCATTGACAGGTTGTCAGATCATCCAAACTGGTAAACGACATTAATAAAATATTAGTGAAATAATACATTAAATGACCACTGAACAGTTATTCATAAAATATATAAATATTTCTGAATAAAACACACAAAGAAATGTAATGTAGGAAATATCTATGTAACTGTTAATCTATTAGTATGATTTGTTCTTTAAATGGCCACTTACTTTGGCTAATGCTATTATTTATTAAATATCATCCAAACTCAACATCCTAAGCAAATAATCAAACCACAATAGTCAACTAAAATCACAGTAAGAAACTTAATCAATCATAGCAAAATGTTCTGTACCATATCAGCCTCAGGAGATGATCAAGGATGAAGAGACACTGACGTCTGGTTCTAACGGGTCTGCAGTTCCTCTCCTGATCCATTCTGTCTATCATACAGCAGCACACTGCGCCACAAAGGACACTTTTTTTTTTTTTGTCGATCGATGTACAGTATCCATTCTAACTGAAATTGTTCAGCTTATAATGCGCATCTTTTCACTCATGTCTGTTTTTTTGGAAGCGTTTTTGCTTCTAAGGACATGGAATCAGGTAGAGGACGTTTTAAAAAGACACAGGTGGATAGCAGCTCACTACAGCAGCGTAGTGTCCATCTCTATGCAACCGTAACGTTCAGCGTCGGTCCGTAGCATTCAGGGGGTCCTTTAGCTCCCGCCACAATCTAATAGCTGATCTTAATATTTCCTGTGTTTTATTTTGGTCATTATTGTTACACTTAGTGTTGATGTGTGTATGATAGGCATGTCTATCAGACAGTTATGTATCGGTTCAATACGGGACGAACATTTAATGGCCAAATATGAGACGACTCCGTGTTTTACGGGATGGGTGGCAACCCTATTCAGGGGTGCTGGGGTATAGTTTTAGGACTAGAAATGCCACTGATCTGAAGCATGAAACAGCTTGGTGTACCTGCGGTGTGACTGTGGCTGGTGGACATGTGGGCCAGGTACAGATGGCCAATCAGACAGGCGCTGTTAGCCTGCAGCCCCATGGCTCCAGAGAAGGTGATGACCTGCAACAAAGAAAAAGAAACAATGTACTGTTTTCCAGCATGATGGGCATTAATGTAGAGGAAAAAGTAAACAGTTGCTGACACTAAACCAAGAGGAGATAATATTAAGTAATATTCTGGCCAATCACAGAGCTTTAAAAGGCATAGAGTGTCCATTCCGATTTTTTTTGACTGAAAATTTGCTAAATGTAGCCACAAAGTCGCAAAACTGGCAACAATTGGGTAGCAAAAGGGGATATTGGCTAATTTTCAGATGTAGATTAGATCAGGTTCTCTTTTACAGCCACAATTTTAGTTTATGTTTTATTTTGCATATTTTTGTTATGACATTTGTTTTGAAAGGTTTTAAATATGAAGTGGAATTCAGCATGTTCGCTGGGACACCAGAAAAAAGATGCATGTAGTATGGAAGCATGACTGCAGAAAAGGCAATTTAAGTTTAAAGAATTTGTTTGACCTCATTTCTTCCTCTAAAGAAGGGGCAACCAACTAGGTATGTTTATATGTTTTCATATCAATTTTATGTCGTGGTAGCACTTTATTTGAAAGAGTGTGAATAAGGCTGACAAAGTCCATTAAAAATGCCAACTTTGCATTAAATTATAATTTACAAAATCATGCAAAATTGGCACTTTTAATGGACTTTAAATGCATCTTTTAGAGCAACTTTGCATTAAAAGTGTCATTATTTACCGAATGACACTTCATGACAACTGTCCTAAACATTCATAAAGACTTCTTTATGTTCATGACAGGTGTTATATCATGTTTATGACAGTGTCATGTCAGTCTTATGCACACCCCTTCAAATAAAGTGTTACCTATGTCGTTATTGTACTCATTACACCATCTCATTTAAGTTTATGTTGTATTTTAGTTCGACGGTGGTGGTGTCAGTGGGAAAGAAAGTGGAGTTGTAACAAGAACAACTTTAAAGATTTATATTAAAGCTAACTTCATACCATCACTTAAACTAACTCTTTATTGCCATTAAAAAGAGGTGGAAGTGATATTCTCATTAAGCAGAGACTGGTCACTGATCTCGCAAAATTAAAGAAATCAAGGCTGATTTATGGGTGCACCCATATTTCATAGCCAATCTGGATGCTAATAAGCATGCTAAGAAGAAAGTAGTTGTACCTGGGTTATAGCACGGATGACCTCATTGAGTCTATTCTGCTGCTGGATGGAAAGCTCCAATTCATTCTGGTACTGTAAAAACACAACAGTGACTATTTCTGGTGAAGAGCTGCACTCACCTGCTGCCTGCAGGTGGCTCATGAGTGGCTCTCAGCTCCTACCTGAATCAGGCAGCTCTCTGACCCGACTAAAGCCACCAGCCCGTTGGCAGCAGCCAGCCGCTGCATGGTGGGACATCCCTGAAATACAAAGACAAGGTCTGCATGACTTTAATTGGACCAAACCAGAATGTAGATCTTGCAGCTGCAGGTCTGATCAGAGTGCAATATGAGGAATAGATGCTGATTCATGTGTTGTACCTCAGCCAGCAGGATTTTGATCCAAGCAGCCAGCAGGCGAGGATGAACGTTCTCTGCTTTCCCGTGGCCAGACACTGACAGGCCGTGAACCAACAGCCCAAGAGCCAATGAGAAGCCTGGAGTCTGGAGACAGTGGACAAGCATCAGAACGTCTCAAAATAACACTTTCTATGTACCGTATTTTCCGGACTATAAAGCGCACCTAAAAGCCTTAAATTTTCTCAAAAATCAGCAGTGCGCCTTATAATCCGGTGCGCCTTATGTGTGCACTGAATTCCAAAATCTGTCCCTGACACAGAGACGTAAAGTGTGCAGTACGTACTCTGGCAGCGATAAACCAATCAGAGGACATTACGTAATACGTAAAGTGCGTACGGCAGTAGCAATAAACCAATCAGAGAATTGTTGTCCGAGTTCTGCAGCATACGCCTCTGGTAAAAACCAGATAGGTTTTTCCACACATCACCGTCCCTGTTCATCTGCGACTCCATGCGCGCCCATCTCACTGCTACTGTGAAAAAGGAAGTGAAGCAAACTAATTCGGAGTTTGCCGTCATTCCGGGAGGATTAACAAGAGAACTCCAACCGCTGGACATTGGTGTAAACAGGGCATGCAAAAAGAACTTGCGAGCGCCGTGGGAGCGATGGCTGACAGACTGAACACACATTTACTAAGACGGGGAGGCGGCGCCGGGCGAGTTACGCCACCATGTGTGAATGGATTGTGGATGCCTGGGCTAATGCATCTGCCTTAACTGTTGTCCGAGCTTTTGCAAAAGCCGGAATCATTGCTGAACAGCCACCTGGCAACGAGACTGACTACGACAATGATGAGAGGGAACCTGGCATGTTTGATGGCGAAATTGCCCAGCTGTTCATTTCAGATACAGAAGAGAAGGACTTTGATAGATTTGTGGAAGAAGAATAAAAAATAACGTGAGTGTATTGTTACATAGTCGAATAAAGTTCAACTAACTGTTTTGTTTCCGTTACCTTTTTTATTTATTGACCGTATGTTTTAGCATGCATCTTATAATCTGGTGCGCCTTATGTATGGGTTAAATACAGAAATGAACGCCATAATTGAGAGTGCGCCTTATAATCCCGTGCTCCTTATAGTCCAGAAAATACGGTACGCTAGCTCAACGTCCTATGTGTTTTTAACCTATGGTTATGACTTTGATTAGATAAAAATAAAGTGAAGTAAAAATGAATTTAAAATAAAGTTGGGGTGCACCAATAAATCGGCCGGCCTATAATCAACCCTCATTTCCATAATTTTGGGAGATCAGTCAGTGATCAGTCGATACTTGCATGAGAAACTGATCTCATCCACTGATCTGATCTCCCTCAGCAAAAATCTGAACATCAAGCTTTAACCTTCAAAATATTCTGGCAGTCCTAAAAAAGGTACCTTCTACCAGTTAATAATAAATCCCAGACAACTCAACAGCCCTGACAGGAAGTGAGGCTTGCTGACCTGCTGGCTCTCCTCAGTCAGGTTGCGCAGTGCATTCAGGACCTCCTCGGCCTTGGCAGCATGGATCAGCCCCCAGCTGAAGGCCGACACACTCACACAGGCCACGGAGTAAGACAGGACCTGGAGGAACAGATCAGATCAGGTCAACCACTGCTCACTGAGGCTGAAAAATACTTATAACAATGAACTGATGGGTTCTTTTTAAGTATTTTAATGTAGAAAACAATAAACAGAGCCAGTGTTATGACTGGATCAGTGAGGGAAGCATGTACCTCCTGCAGCATGCGTCCCTGTCCACTGCTGTCTTGCAGCTTGTCCAGCAGCTTGTCTAGGGTTCTGCTGACATGAACCTGCTGCTCCACCCGTCCCCTGCTGCAGAGCGCTGACAGCACCAGGCCCAGGCCCAGCACACAGCCAGTGCTGAGGAATAGGAAGCAGAAAAATGCTCTAGTTACTTGCTGAAATCCAAGACAAACTGAAGCCCTCCGTCTGCAGCTCAGAGTAACAAACGCTCAAGCTTCTGTCCATGAAAATACTGAGAAGAAAAACTGATCTACTGAATCTTAAAATACATCTTCTAGTATTTTACTGCTAGTGAATATCCTCTGGACCTGTCTGCACCAGACTACTAACTTGTTTTCCAGGTTGGGGTTGAAGCAGCAACCTTCCAAGGCATCCAGAGACTTGGACAGGACATCTGTGTCTTCCTGGGCAGAGACATCGCTGAACAACAGAGACAGACTGATCACTGGTTGCATTCATGTGTTTAACTGGGAAATCTTCTCAGAGCCAGTACCTGAGGCTCTGGTGGTGCAGGCTGGAGAGAACCATGCCCACTGCCAGGCCCGAGTGGAACTGGACAGCCTGGGAATCATCTGCAGAGGGGGCGTCCGGCAAGCCGGCCTGCAGAGCTGAGAGGACCTGGACCAGAGCGTCCCTCTGCCACATCACCAGAACTGGGACAAGCAGGGACAGAGCCAGGCTGGCACAGGAGCGGGCAATGGCACTGGCCGTGTTCTCCCCAGAGTACGACCTCTGGGGACGAGCACAGCAAAAACAGATAGATATAGTAGCTTACAGCCACTTCAGCAGATGAAAAGGACATTTTACAACTTTTTCACATGAAAGTTTGTGGGTTATATATTCACACATAAACAATAACACCTCAAAATTCACATACTGTACCTTAAAAATTTTTTGTAAGCTGTATATTAAAGGGATCCATTGGTAGTTTGAACAATAGATAATATTTAAGAAACATTTTTTTCAGATATATAATCAACACAGTAAAAGTCCTGCAGGAAAGGTTTGATCTATTGCCTGGAGATAGTGTGATTAATATTCACTGGTCTTGAAGTCAACTTCATTCCTGATTTGCTCAAATTCACTCAGACATATTCTATTTGAAACAAACAATTAAATCAAGTTAACCTGTTTGTTTGCAAGACACTAAGGGTGTGTTCACACTGCAGCCTGAAGTGACCCAATTCTGATTTTTTTGACGTAATGCGACCTGTATCCGATCTTTTCATGACGGTCTGAAAAGCACAGGTCGGATTATTTTCGAATGTGACCCATATCCGATACGTATCCGATTCAAATGCGACCTAACGTTCAGGTCGCCTTCATCCGAACTGAACGTCACTGATTCTCAACAAATCTCACTATTCTGTGTCCTGATACGCGCAAGAGGGACCTTAAACATGATCAAACTGACTGTGGGTGCATTCACACTGCAGCCTGAAGTGACCCAATTCCGATTTTTTGGCAATTCTGATTTTTTTGCCGGGCCGTTCACACTGCCAGTAATTGCGACCTGTATGCGTTCTGCAGTGTGAATGGGCAAACAATCCTGAAAGTGTCGAGCATGTGCAGTAGAGGGTGCAATAGCGTCAGCGTTCTCAGTGTTCTGCCAGCAAAAAGGAACCATTCCAACAACCAGGGTTCCCAACACTATAAATTGTTTTTACGGTGGAATTTCAGCAACCCCAGCTGCCGGCATTTTACCGTAAAATCTAAGATTTTTTTTTACATTGTGGGGTTGCCATAATTCCACCGTTAAAAAATTACAGGTAAAAATGTTTTTTGTTTTACAGTGAAACACCGGCAGCTGGGGTTGCAGAAATTCCACAGTAAAAAACAATTACGGGTAAAATATGTTTTTTGTTTTACGGTAAAACTCCGGCAGCTGGGGTTGCCAGAATTCAACCGTAAAAAAATTTACAGGTAGAAATGTTTTTTGTTTTACGGTGAGACGCTGGCAGCTGGGGTTCCCGAAATTCCACCGTAAAATTTCAGTAAAATACTGGCTGTCAGTATTTTACCGTATTTTTTAAAATACGGTAAAGTTCTGTCGACCAAAACTTCCAGTATTTTACAGTATTTTCTAAAATACTGTAAATGTCTGTAAACTACAGCTGCCGGTATTTTACCGTATTTCTTAAAATAGGGTAAGATACCAGCAGCTGTGGTTTTCCCTTAGTAAAATTGGCCATATCCTTTTGGTAAATTAAATATGCTGACAGTAGTGAAAAATTAGGTGGAATCCCCCTTAACCTAACTTCACCTTCGTAAAAGCAGGGTCTACCATACAGTTCTCTAAATGTATAACAAATCTATGGTGGGCCTAAAATTAAATAATCCCAAATACATCATTTGGGATGATCATCTCTCGTAATGACGGTGGCGTCGGGTGTAAGAGTTTGCCCTGCAATTAGTGGATTGCCAGTTCAATACCTGGTCTTCCTTTGAGATTTCAGTTTGATATATCAAAGTCATTATAGATTTAATTATTAAAAAACAAAACAAAGTATCACACCAGCATTCTAATCTATGTAAATTACTTCTGCAGTCTGGTTTATGGTTTTACATCATAGACAGTGGCGCAAAAAGTGGGTATGCAGCGCAGGCAACGCATAGGGGCGCTGCACCAGAGGGGGCGTCCAAACCCCGTCTGGAGGGGGCGGCGCTCCAATGATGCCTTCGCATACCCTTCACCGCGCCCTTACGCTCCTTCACCTTGCATCCACCTGAATAATATGTAGTCCTCATGCCGGTGGTTGCAGGTTTGACTGCCGGCCTGGCGACATTTGCCGCATGTCTTCCCCCTCTCTCATAACCCTCTTACCTGTCAAACTACTTTCAAATAAAGACCACTAAGAGCCAACAAAACCTTTAAAAAAATATCAGCAAAATTTGGAATTTTGGCTGATTAATTCAGTTAATTTTAAGGTAATTAGCTGCAGGCAATATTACAATATTTTTTTTAAATGATTTTTACAATTACATTTTTACAATAGATTTCTCAGTTTTCTACATTTCAAAATCACTTGCAATATATATTTATGGAGTTATTGTAATTCCATATATTTTCTACAGTGATGAAGTGCTTATGGAGCTGATAGCGAAAGTTCAAGCTGGAAGACTCCGCCCCCTCCGTTCGCCCATCGGCGTTATGCTCATCTCCGACCTCAGCGCTGGACCTCACCCGGCGCGTCCAATCATCAATCAAGCTCTGCATAAAAGGATCCACACCCAAGCCGTCAGCCGGATCCCAGCTGCGTTCAATCCGTTCATCTGCACGTCACAGCTTCGCGATTCCCTGTCCTTCTACGTCGGCCTGCTGTCATGAAAGCCATTTAGCTGTGGCTCGGCCCCTTCTTTTTCCCCTCAGACGCTCCTCAGATGCAAGAGATTCCTCGATGATTTCAAGCAGCGTCTCCTGCCTCGATAATTTCAAGTAGCGTCTTTCCCCTTTCTCTCGCCTGACTGGGATTTCTCCATCCCCGCTCCCTCGCCACCTACTCCACGATCCACCTCTGGCAAGCGGACACGTGATCCCACTGTTTTCAACCCGCACCGTCTTTCTTCGCCTCAGCGCCTTCACACCAGTGCCACTATGGATCAGCCACGCCTACGGCTTCCCTCTCCTGCAACACCACCAGCCCGCTCAGCAACACCTCTTTGGTTTTCCCTCACTACGCCTGTTTCGGGTACCAGGGTAAGACGTAGCATTCTCATGTCTCATTCGTGTCTCGCAATACTTCGTAGCGCAGACACTTTTCATTAGTTTATCCCTTCCCGAACACTTTGGCCGTATATACATGCGCCACTCAGGTTCTAATGTTCAAGGACTTTTACCCGAACATTGACTTAGTTAAAACATCGTCACCCGTTTCTCCGAGGCGTCTTTAAACATAACATGAGTTCTAAGTCACTGGGTCTACACCAGTGCGTCAGCAGGTGACCAGTTGTTGCGTAAGAGCTGCAAAGCGTTGAAATGCATTAACAATCTGTTTTTAACTTCTCAATACGTTTAATTATGATTCACCTGATGTCCAAGTTATAGCTGAGAACAAATAAAGCTTTATTCCTTCCAATCTGACTGGTTCTAGTTCCATGTTTTCACATTTTGGACACTAAGAATTAAAAGTTTAAACTCAGTCTTATTTATCACTAATTAAAGTTACAGGTTTTGCCAATTGTCACCTTATCTAAACAAAGTGGAAGCAGAGCTTCTCCTCCACTGGCCTGGACTCATGCAGTTTCACGGCTTTTCACAGATCGTGTGAAAGCTGGATCTTCTCCTGATTGTTTCCCACAGAGACAAAGGGAGTTCAAAAAGATCTTAGCAAACAATCTGCTTTAACTACAGGTAACATAAAGGTCAATAGGGCAGAATAAGTTATTAATCTGAAAACTATAATTAGGCTATTTCAATTAAGACATGTTAAGTTTTAAAACTAGCATATTTTAAATGTATTTTCTTAACATGACCTAAACATTTGATTCAATCAGTTAAACTCGTCTGGAGCAGGGGTTCGCTTACAGCGTCTTGGCTGGCCTTCATACCAGCGGCTTGAGGCATAAATTATCATTTGCCTACTCGTGGACTTTTGCCCTGTTGCGACGGCAAAATGTGCAGTAGAGTGGCTTGGCAACGTAACATGAAGTCGGCTAACAATACCTCTTTGGTTCGGTTGAGTCCGTCCAGTGCTTTTACTAATTAATTAAATTCTT